TTCTTCCTTAACTCCTCAGGAACGGCCAACCTGCTCCGGCAAGTGACTTTTGTCCGCCTTCGTTCATCGCACCTCTGTTTCGTCAGCCACTCCTGGTACAGCTTCCTGGTGTGGATTTTGGCCATCGTGTTTTGTTTGTCATTCCGATTCGGTGCCTTCCGGACCTTGTAGACGTGGATGCCGGCACATTTCATCCTTTTTTTTGTACAAAACCAGATGGAAACATCCGCCTTCTTCGCCGCATCGCGGATCGATAGATTCGACCGACGCTTGAACAGACTCATCACCTTCCTGACCTTCACCGGGTTAACTGTCTTCGGTTTTCTGCCGCAGTGTTACAGATGGGAGTAAAGTTGATATCTAACGATCATAATATTTTTTTATAAAATAACAGGCCTAGCACCGTCTGAACTGTTGAAAGTCTAGCAAAAATATTTGGTGGGATTATCTGCATAGCAGTTTATTCAGCCATTAACATTTCGTGAATAGAGGGCGGGCTCTTCTCCCCACTCATTGGGGCATACTCCTGTTTTTGACCAGTTCAGGGCTGGTAGCAGGTCACTTTTTAGTGAATTGGTCACTATTATGAAGCCAGTCACTAAAAAGTCACTATTTTCCTAAAAATACTCATTAAAGTCACTTTTTCACTACTAAAACGAGTGAAATTTTAAAAATATCAACAACATATTTAGATTGAGTACTTGGCACTAAGAAAATCTACAGTAGTTATAACAAAATATACATAAATGTTAAAAAATTTAAAATTTTAACTAGAGTGACCAGTAAACCGCAAAACTTTACAACACCAGAAAAACTGGGAAATGCTTTCAATTTCTATTAAAAATCGGGGAAAATAACCTCTTTTCCCAGAAAATAAATTGTAAACCTTGGAAACTTTCCAAAGGTATTTGTCTGTGATAGATTTTCTAAAGTTTTTCAAGGATGATTAAGAAGTTTAAAAATCCTAAGTAAATTTTAAGAGAACTTTAAAGGATTCTATGGATGATACCAAGACCGGTTTCTTCATCTCCGCTTAAATCTTAAGCCAGGTTTACCTATATAGTTAAACTTGGCTTAACACATACGATCGTCGTTTTTTATTATTGTTTAAATTGTTAGAGACGCAAAATTCAGCTCCGAAACAATTTTTGGAAATAATTCCAATAGAATTGAGAGTGCATTTTAACGAGAGTTCTGAGAAGAATTCTATGAGGATTCTAGGTCCAATTCTAATAAGAATTCAAAATTAGTTCTGAAATTTTGCTTAAGGGAGCGCTGATAAAAATGCCATGAAAATCCCGTGAACTTCAAAGATGGTCTCTGCGGATAGTTCTAAAAGAATTCTGGGGTGATTTCTGAAGATCAGGGCGTCACAATATCAGCTTCAATCAACCAAATCGATGCGACGAAGAGACTGCTGGCTTTCTTTTTCTGTTAAAGTCAAACAGCTTCGCAACATTCTAGAACCTCAGTCGGCGTGCACAAACAAATGTTCAATCGCTTGTCTCTCTTTCTCCCGTCGCTCCATTGGTCTTCCTTTCAAGCTTCGGTGAAACGGATGAGCGAAAGAGCGCTCGACTTTGATAGTTTTCTCTTTCATGAAACACATCAAGAGAGGTTTCATGACGTATATGACGGAAAATGAAATAACACATTTAAAGCATTTCTCACGTGAAAATTTTTAATTTTTAATTTTAATTTATTAATATTTTTAATTTATCTACCATCCATATATTTATCTAAAAAAAATGACATAACGCATTTTAAACAAATTGAAAGAGCGGTGATAGAGTGTTCGTGAAAGGGGATTGAAAGCCATAATGAGGTTCGTTTAACTAGAAAATCGTCGTTAGTTACATTGAAAGCGATGAGCAAAGCAACGACGAGAAGTTCCACAGCCAGCCTTTCCTTCTAAGCGTCCTGCTTTTTTATTTTCGTTTCTTGCTGATAGTCTAGCTAGGCGTTATAGAAATGAAGCGTCGAAACCGTATGTATGAGAGAAAAAAAAAACACGAGTTCATTTTAGAGCTTCGTAAATGTAGAGCCCTGCTGAAGATAGTTCCAAAAGAATTCTAAAGAGTTCGAAATAAATTCCGAGAAGAAGTCCAATGGAATTGAATTTTGAGGGTTCAATCTCAAAGGAATTCTGAGAAGGGTTTCAAAGTTATTCTGTAATAGATTTTTGTTTTGAGAATTCTGAGGAAATACTATGGGATTTCTAAGGACAATACGAATTGAATGCAGGGAGAAGTCCAAGATTATTCTAAGCAGAAATGTTTGAGGTTAATTGCATGGAAATTCTAAGGAGAATTCAAAAAAAATTTAAAATGGATTTGTGGAAGGAGCCTTCAGGGAGTTCCTAGAAGAATCAATAATAAATTGAATATAATCTACTTTAACTAATCATGTGTTATTACTTCAGCGTGAATTTAACGATTTACATAGTCGGCGATGTTAACGTCAAATATCAAACTTAAAGTGGAGATTTTATACGATATAACGACATACGATTAAATTATAGAGTTGATAGCTCTGTTATAGTACGGCAGTGTGAAAATTGTACATACAAAGTAGAAAGCGAGCAGAGGACAATTTTGAGCAAAGTACGAATCTGGTAGTTGTGTACGTCAGATGGCGGACTTGAGTGTGAAACAATCGATAGAACTGTTTCCGCACATCGGATGTACATGAGCAAATCGGCGATCATCCCTATTGCCAGTGGTGGCAAGGGGAAACACCCCTCACCATCTCTCGTTAACGGATGAGCTTGGTAAAGGGGATGCTCTACCCGATTCGTACCTTCCTCAAAATTGTCCTTTGTTCGCTTTCTACTTTCTATAAACAAATTTCGCACTGCCGTACTATAACGGAACTATCAACTCTATACTTTCATCTCCTCATCTATCGTATAAAAATTACCACTTTAGTCTGTTACAGTTCGTAATACAAGACATATAGTCAAAAATACTGAATAATGTGTTCAACAAAACAATTAAACCTTTATGTTAGTTCAACGGTAGATGAACCGCAAACATTAATATCTATTTGTTTTCATTTTGTTAACCGACTTTTCTCGGGACTCTAATCGTTTCTAGCTTTTCAACGTAAAGCTAGAATACCCAGGCACATATCTAGCATTTGTATCTTTTTTGTGCAAGGCTACCTAGTAGCATTTTCCATTTGTGATAAATTTTGTTCATTACCGGTTTTTATTGGTTTTATCTTAAAATTGCCATTACCGAAAAACTGGTTTTCAGAAAACATACCCGGTAATGACATCCCTAAGAGCAAGCGCTAAACATGTAAAAACTAAAGGCCCAAACGCAATGTGGACGGAAGCGGAACGGAAACGGAAAGTTTGACAGTTGTCACAAATGACATCAAGAAGCCTAACCGATGTCGATTTGGTTCTAACTAGTTTTCAATCCGACAAGTAGGCTTACTCAGATCGGGTTTTTCCGCTGCCGCTGCCGTTCCGCTTCCGCTGTCATTGCGCTTGGCCTTTAAGGGTCCGTTGAATCCATCCAGTTATAGAAAATATCGTGTTGTGGAGAGTTGACTAATAGCCAGTAAAATGTACCTTCTTATATATAAAATACAATTGAGGTTGTTAGAAAGAAAGGGGTGCAAGTGACTTCGATCGATTTTCTTCATCGACTTTCTCTTTTGATAGCCACAGCTTTATAAACAGATTTTGCGCTATTTCTGCCTCATAGTTTGACAAAGGAGGTTCTCATCTAGCATCCAGAATGGCACACGAATCAAGGAATGTGTTTGCAGCTAAATTATTAACGTAAGAGGAAGTCGATGAAGAGAATCGATCAAAGTCACTTACACCCCTTTCCTTCTAACCCCCTAAATTGATTTTGATTAAAATTGTATTAATGTTTTCGATAAATTAGGCTTGCATGCAACTTGTTCAGCACTTTCTTCAAAAACGCAATTTCCCCTTTACAATCCCGACATATTCCATAACAATATAACTCAGGAATCTTTCTGAACTGTGTTTTGAATGTCAAGAGTCGGTAGTTCCTCGTAAAGCTTGTACTTGATTGCTTTAATTACGGTAATGCGATAATGCGAAAAGCAAGTAAACTAATACTTAAGTAAATTCACGTGGCTACCTCTTCCAATATGTGTGTGCGCGCGCCTAGTCACGCCAAAGCAAACGCAGCAACAACTTTATCACCAACCACGGGAGCGAGATTTATCATTTGCCTGCTTCTCGATAGTCATGGTATCATGTGAGCGACTACGTACTGAATGACTGACCGGGCAGGTGCTAAACTCCTCCATCAGAGTAACTACTTCAGGGGAATGGAAATCGTTTACGACCACAACACCCGAATCTTGATTAATTGATATTCAACCTCCGGTTTAAGGGGAGGGAGGGGGGGAGGGGGTCTATTGTTTTGTATTTCGTCTTTGCCATGGGACCGAAAGTTGGCGTAGCGTGTGGGGGGCTATATGAAAAGAAAATTAGCGAACTTGTGATTTACATCACAGCTATGATCATGTGGTTAAGGTATAAATGAATGAGATAACAACTTTCAGTGTGTTCGGTTTGAGTCACCTGGTCAGGTTTGCGGAAAGTTGACCCAGTACGGTTGACAACGATCCATTAGTTCAAATGATCGAACTTGAACCATTTTGAGACAACACTTCGTGTGTGTGTGATTGGACGGACAAAGAAGCAATTGAAGAGCAATATATGCCACTCAAATTTTATCACGACGAGTAAGAAACGATGTTCACACTGAATCGAATTGCTGCATGTGATGATAATGGTCTATCTCTGATTCGTCTTTTATTTCGAAGCCTTGCGTGTGTCTGTGTGTATGAACGTTTGTGGCAATATACGTGCTAAAATCGTATATAGAAGGTTGTGAGTGACTGAATGACGAATCTGTCGACGTTGCAATAATGTTTTTTTCTAGTATCAGTCTACAAACGAACAACGGTGACTAATCCACTATGTTCTTTCTATTTCTCCATTCTAGCCCTCGGAGCCGCCTATGGCACGGCGAAATCCGGAACAGGTATCGCCGCCATGTCAGTGATGAGACCTGAGTTGATCATGAAGTCCATCATCCCCGTTGTCATGGCTGGTATCATTGCCATCTACGGTCTGGTCGTTGCTGTACTTATCGCCGGTTCGCTGGATACTCCAGTGAAATACTCGCTATACAAGTAACTATCCCTCTATTCTCATGTTAAATGACTAACCGAACTGCCATGTGCGGCGTCGTTGTCGTCGACCGTCAGACGGACGGCTGGCTGACTGCCCTATGACAGACATACGACGGACGATCAACGATAAACAAATGAGGCTGTCGACGATTTTCTACATAATAGCGAACGCTCCTAGTGTTAGTGGCGGCATCCGTCTTTCCTTCATTCATCGACTGAGGGAGGACGGTTCGAAAGTTGCAATCGTACAATTTGAGAGAGGAGTATGCGCAAAACAGCCCTACTCCAATTCTGAGGATCTCCCACAATGTACCTATACGATTTCTTTTATTATGTATCGTATCGTCTTTTGCACCCATGGATTGGGATATGGCACGATGAGTATTGGATAAAAATGTGCGTGACATTCGTGCATATGTTAATTAACTGCTGGGGAAAATTTAGTTGTGAACAAGAGATTTGAACCATTCCGAATGGGACGACAGATTGAAGTTTATCGAAACACGTCATTTGGGAGCAATTAATGTCAAAGTTGACACGGTAAAATATCGATTTTTAAATAAAAAAAAAAGATCTGAATTAATTGATTTCTCACTGCGTTTAAGTTCTATTATAGAATACTGCCTCATTATTCAGGTGGCTTCTAGCGTATTAAAAAACCAAATTATGTTAATTTGGATTCCGGGGTACAGCGGGATTCAAGACACCGAAATTGTCAATCAACTGGTCTCGGTTGGTAGAAGTAATGTCCATTTTTCGGTTAAAGTACTTTGGTTCTGTGCTCAGTTTGAATAAGTATACTACCTATAATCGGATATCAGTCCCATGAAGATTTCCGTCAATGAATTTTAAGATAACAATCATATTGGCAGTTACCGTAAAATGTGGCGAATAGAAACACGTTCCAACACATTTTAAGGTGTATAAAAATACGTTAGGTTCTAAAATCAATTCAATTGATATAAAGTATGGGTGCCGTCCTCCTCTATTGTTGCTGTGCTTCTGTTAAAATACAACGGCTTAATCCATATGTTATTGGATAAAATGTTGGATGTTTCGCCCCCTCAATGGGGCGAATAGAAACACTTCCCTGTAAATTTTATGTTTCTACTTTTAATGACGAAAATCAATATTATTTCAAAGAAAACGAACAAGACGAACAAGATTTATTGATAACATGATGAAATAATAACAAGTTAATAATAAAAAGTAGGATTTGGAATCAATTTTTCTTGACTGTAATCTTTACAGAAGGATATGTTCTATCATTATCCGGAGTCGGCGTTTCGTCGATCATCTCTGACGGTTCAGAATCTTCAGGGACGATATTTGAGCTCCCAGTAACGCTTTGCACAGGTAGTCCCTTTTTTCTTTCGTCAAGATTTTTACCGTCTTCTGGAGTTGGCACTGTGGGTAACATCCGCAACACGGGTGTTCTATCGAACATTGTTTGGTGCTTGAACCTTGAAGCCTTGGAAATTTGTCTTTTGGTAGAGATGCTTCTTGTTTATCTTGGGAAAGTTTCCAATTTTCGAGAATATTACGCCAAGCAGTCTTGAGAGGACGAAAAATTCCCATATCTAACGGTTGTGTTAAGTGAGTTGAGTTGGCTGGGAGAAAAATCAAACTGATGTCGTTATTGGAGCACAACTCAATAACCTGTAACGTCAAATGCGAAGCAAGATTATCTTCAATTAAAACTCTTTTTCCAGTTTGTTTTTACAAAAAGGGAATTGCAATTGTAGACAATCATTTTTCGAAAGAGGAACTTTCGAACCAACCCGAATTCGATCGGTTGTATCTAACGTGCTCTGGTCCACATTCAGTCCATGAGTCATACAAATGAACAGCTTTATAAACAAAATACGGTTGTAATATGGTACCATCTCCTGCAGCACTAAACATCACCGATACAGACGCTTTTGTACTGTTCATTACCCGTTCCAGATATTTGCACCCACGTCTAGTTATAACCTTCCTTTTTTCCCGGGTCTTCGCACAAGTTCGTTTCATCATAGTTTACAATATTAGAAGGTGGTACATCTAGGAGTTCCTTACATAACCTGTTGAAGTAGTCGTTGATGATTTTGTGAGACACAGCAGACCGGTTCCTCTTAATATTCTGGCACATCCTGTATGACAACTCCTTCTTATGCCTTTTCAAATAAGAATAAACATCAGGACCAGGTCCTGGCAGATTTCCCTTGAGGGTTGAAATTTTCTTTCTCGTTCTATCCAAATACTCTTTAACAATGCGGCGTAACATCCAAGTATCAACAGGATAACCCCATCCAGAGCAAAGATTAAGCCTTTGGACTAACAAACCTTCGTCAGATTCAGTAAGGCACGTTTGATGGCATTTCCTTTTTTTGGATACCGATAAATCACAAAATAGCTGGTGCCGTACTGCACTGCCCCCTTGGCGCAACGACATTTTTTTGTTAGCAACATCCTCATTGGCCTGCTTCAAAGTTTGTGGGTCTGCTTTTTTGTACGATTTTGTACCTTTTGGTTTGTAGTTTCTAACCATTGTTTTCCTAGAAATAAGGGAGCACTATGTTGGTGTCGATTGCATAAAACGAATGACTTCAATTATCGGCGCCATTGTTTCTATTCGCCCCGTCAAAGTGTGAATCTGGACCACGATAAATACCTGTTGATGTTCGAATGTTTCACTGTAGAATAATATAACTGCTACTGTAACAGTACGTGAACAAGTTCGAATTGAACAAAAAGTGACTTTCACAGGTGAAGTTTTTGCGCACTAGCAAATACTACTCACTCGAAGCACCATTTTATGAAATTTCTAGAAAAATGACAGCAGGGCTGCCAACCCAACAATAGTTTGGCGGAACTCTTTCAGTAGCTAAGTAACTGGGAAAAATGTTGTAGGATGTTTTTTTCAAAATAATCATAGAATAGTAGTAATATTTTTAAAGCTTTGTTTCTTTTCGCCCCACTATTTCTATTCGCCCGTTTTACGGTACTTTTATATTATACTGGCTTGGTATGCCCGGCCTTGCTCGGGATTCAATATTAGCTCGAGTTTATGCACCGATTCAAAAAAGCATGCCATATTTTTTTGTTTCATTTGAGTGGGAGCCCCTGCCCCTTTACAGAGGGGGGGGGGGGTCTCGAACCATCATAAGAACCTTTCCCGCCCCGAAAACCCCTGCATACAAATGTTCACGCCGATCGGTTCAGTAGTTTCCGAGACAGACAGACAGAAATTCATTTTTTTTATAAAACTACGGACTTTGATCATGAAAAATATGAAAACAACATTAAGTCAGTTTGTCCCACTCTGAAATTCAATCGTCCATAGTTCAAGCACCGACGAACTTCAATATCGAGTTGTAGAGAGTTCAATGTAGTTTGAAATTAAAAAAGAATCGAAGGTTGGAGGCGAACCAGGCCAAGGCTGAAAGCCTCCCTAATAAAGATAAATAATAATAATAATAAAGAATCGAAGGACAAATTTCATGATTTTTTTATCGTTCTACAAAAATTGATTATTATAAAGAAATTTTCGAAGGACTCTCCGAGAGAATCTCAAATTTATTTTAGAAGAGTTCTGAAAAAAACTCTGAAGCGAAATGCTAGAGGACAATCCAATATAATCCTGTTATGTTTGAGCCAATTCAGGGTTGCTACGACAACGACAGATTTCGCGATTTTCGCGGATTTGTTATCCGACTTCTTATGGTCAGTGCTGCAAAATATCAATATCAATACCTACAAAATATTTAATTTCACTAGCCACCTGATGTTGGTATCAGTTCATACGGTTATAATATCAATGTCAGTGCGCAAATTATATTGACATCATAAAGGGACCACTGATATTCAAAGTGTTGCCGCAAATTTGTCTTATAATCGCCAGCTAATTGAGTACCAATCTTCAAAATACTCATAAAAAATATGTGAAAAATATGTTTAATTTATTTTAAGTAAACACCAAGCCAAATATCTCAAAATTTCCTTGTTCGATTTTTTAAACAAAAAAAAAAAAGCTTATGCAAAAGGCAAATTTTTGGAATATTCAAAACCATGGACACTTTGAAACCTTTGGTCTAATTTTTGAACTTTTTGTTAGTACGCCTTTTTGAGTATTTTTTGTTACATGTCTCAAACATTGTTTTCTTGAATATAAATTAGATGTTCATAATTTAAAACTTTGAAAAGTTTCATGAGTTTTTTTTTTTTGTTTTTATTTATTCAAAAATCGGACAGGGTCATTTTGATATATTTTGGTTTTTAACTTTTTGTGGAATTCTTACTTGAAATTACTAAAAACATTTTTTTGCATATTTTCCCAGAAATACATTATTTTTCCCTCAACTTTTATTCAGAGTTCATTTCGATCAGAAAAATTGCAAAGACGCCCTTTTAAAAATGTTATAATATCCCAAATGGTCGAATTTTAGTAAAAATATCAGTGGCGTCGCGTCCACATGTGCAACCTGTGCACGACACAGGTGTAAATAATTTTAAAAAATGCGTTTTGATTTTTATAGATTTTATGGTCACATTATAGCTGTACATACTTCTTTTCTAGTGTGGTTGAATTAAAACTTCGACCTTGGTTTGCTTCAAAAAGGATTAAATTCAGTTCTGATGGTCTGCCTAATTCCTAATACATTGATTTCTAAGCATGTCGATATCACTACCATGACAAAATTCGTTAAATAGTGCACTAAAGCAGGCTTTTTTGGGAGGTGGGTGGCAAGTTTGTGAATGGTCAAATGCTTGATGTAAGCCAAGCGGACCTTCTATCAGCTCTTGAAACATACCACAAATTTTCCACAGTACATGGCGGTTTGCACCACTAGTTGTAATTGAAACTTTCAGCAATCACGCATCAAACGGGAGCAACACGGAAACAACAGTCTGGTACGCTTTGGACGTGTATCATACTTGCAGACCGGTTTGAATGTGTGAGTATAAATTAGAAGAAAATTTGTGATGTATGGGTGCCTAAAGTGTGCATTTCTCGCTGTGCACGTGGATATCTGATTGCAGGCAAAGAGAGTATTAGAGAAAGAGAACGCAAAAGCTCGCTCTCACTCTCTTGCCAGTTGTAAATCTCTCAATTACCAATGGTTGCGCCGTGCGCCTGTCAAAACTTATGAGCTTTCCCTGGTTCATTCTGATAGTGTTGTTCTGATGAATAAAGAGTTGATTAATAATTCAATAATCAAGTTTGCTACCCAGAGGACTTCATGAATTTTCTCTAGATTTTGATGCTGTGTTGTATCAACAAATGTTTTCGGAAGTGTTTGACGGATATTCTTTATTACACTTCAGTCGAAAGAGTTAGCCTTGTGACAAGAACGAGAATTAGGTAGTTAAGTTTTGCAATTCCTCCTACTACTGTTAGCACGAAAAGGACCATACAATTTTTTTTATACAGGATGATAGGGCCTTCAATTGAGAATATGTCACTCGATTTCATGGAGAATTAAAAAACAAAAACAAAAACTAATATGTGGTCGTAAACTGTAACGAAGTCGTAGTTTGGTGCACAGGTAACCAAATGAGGCTCGCGACGCCTCTGAAAAATATAAATCATTGCCCATAACAAACAATTACAATTGAGTTTATCCGATTCGTCATTTGGCGTTTGAACTGCTCAATTGATGAAAGATCATTGGCGGACCACATTGGGAACATTCGGGCATGTTCCGGGTGTCCTTGAGAAGTGGCTATTGTCTGACTTTGGCTGCTTTTGCCTCAAATCGATTGTGCTACATTATCCTGAATTAATTCTACCTTCTTTTGATTACTGCCAAGGTTGCAAATACTTACTTCAGCTAAAACAATGTTTTTTTTTTAATTATGAAATGATTAGATGCTATGATCATATTTTGAATTGGTAAGATACAAAAAGAGGTTGCAAATTATGTGTTTGACATATTAAACCTGTTTATTTCACTTCATGAGAGTCACAATCAGCGATTTTTCACACACTCATTCACTCACTCAGCGATCAGCAAATCGCTGATTGTGACTCATAGAAAGCAAAATTTACAGGTTTTATGTTTCAAACAGATACTATTGTAATGCCTGGACTGACGGGCTTCGGATAAAATGTACAACGACTCTTACGTTTCAACTCGAATCATCGAATGTCGTTTATTTCTCATTTCTTTTAGTTTTATTCTACAGACTTAATCTAGTACTACCCTTTGAAACCAACCTAAACTAACTTGCACAACTTTCATGTACACATGTGGCATCGCGAACAACGTTGACTCATGGCTTGGTTCTTTGCGTGGGAAAAGAGAGTCACAATGTTTATGACTCAATTGGTATAATTGTTTATGCTTCGGATAGAAATTTACCTTAGCAGTAATTTATTGCAAGCGTTCTAAATGCGAGCTATGGGAAAATATTGTCAGCATGAGACTCAATGCTCATGTCATGAAATTTGAAGGATAATGAAGAAGGATAATCTAAAAAGGATTTGGTTATGTGATTTGGGTTAGGTATATAACATTCAGCTCATGTGTGCTCCACGTGTATAGCATGCTGTATGCTACACTATGTAACCTCTTCTTGTAAGTTACAAGTAAAACATGTCATCATATCATCTTTTGGTTTTATTATTCCGAATAAAAGTATTTTAGCTGAAATGAGTATGTTCACCCTTGATTGCTGCTTGTTCTTTTAACAATCGGTGTAATGTAACACAACCGTCAAATCACATCAATGATAGTCATCGGGTGTTCAGGACTCAATTGGCTACATCTTGGTATATTTACGGGTACAGTGGTTCACCCAGGGAAGTGGTCAGTTTCAGACTAAGGCCAAAACCACAAATCATGAGAATTTCAGAACAATCTTCATGGCAGTCAAATCGAGTGCCCAGGATCACATCCGGATATTTCCCAGAAGTACCCTAGGAAGTGACAAAAACCCGTTGATTTCGATGATAAATCGGCAAAAATATACCTCGTTCTCTTTCCGGAACAAATGTAAAGTTTTATAGACCTTGGAAATTGTTTATAGAAATATATAAAAAAATATGCAGATCTTGAGAAAAATGTACAGATTTATACAGATTTTAGAAGCAGAAAAATCAAAAAAAGATTGGCGGAGCTCAACGATACTATGACGGACGTGGACAGTTTTTGAGAGATCTCCCTGGAGTGGACAATTAATAATACAAATAAAAATAAGGATCAAGTACATTTGCCACCCACTATCCTCGTGGTAAACGGGAAGCCGCTAAACCTAAAAACCCAAAGGTATTCTGAAGAAAATTGAGAAGAAATTCAACACCAGTGCATTAAACATTTTTGTTCTGGGTGTATGAAGAGAGCTCCAGGGTAATTGTAGGAAGCTAAATTCTGCAATTATAGTCAAAACCCACTTGGAATCTTCGAGAAGAGTACATTTTGAAGATTTTGGACGGTTATACAAATTCAAGAACCATGAAAAATGCTTCTATCGTAGTACTGGCCTGTTAAGCCTAGTGACCTATTCGGCTCAAACTCATTCGGTATTATGCTCAATTTAAATGTATAGCACACAACGCGGTAACATTATCAAAATTCCGGGGATGAATCCGGGAAATTGTGCCACACCCAGACATAGCATACCACTGGGAAAGTGGTCAGAATATGACGTGATCTAAAATCACATGAGATTTTTAAAACCTGATCATTGGCGGACATTTTGAGCGCCCAAAGTCGTATTGGCCAAATCTGGACGTCCTTGGGAAGTAGCCAAAATCTTCCTTAAAGCCAAAATGCATCCACTGATAGTTCAACATCAAGATCAGTGGCTGTTATATTGAATATCTAGGAACACGTTGGTCCACCTGGACAGGTTCGGGTGCCCCCTTGCAGAGCAATCTGAATACATTAAGGTTTTTCGCTGTGAGATCCTTATTCTCGTAACCACTTCGAAACTTTAAGTGCACGAATATCAGCTTCTATGATACGTACTACAATGGAAATGTTACTCAACGTTTGCTGTTATGCAGCATATATGAAGTAACAATTTCAGGTAAAATGGGGCATCAATTTTCAAGATGTGTGTAATTGAAAATTCGAAGTGGAAGTGCATGTATAGCCTACGTGGTGGCCATTTATGGACTGTACAAGGAATCACCTTAAGGGACCCATGAAATCATTTTATTACACAGACCCACATGGCATTTTGAAAGTATGCAAGATTTATATCGGAATATAAATTAATAAGGGCTGTCTTTGCAGAAGGTATGCTAATTATACTAAAAATAGTCAACCTACCGGGAAGCCATTCCTATGGGTAATTTTCTATATGTAGGGTAAGGTGGGGCAAGATGGTTCAGTTCGTACATTTATTAATTTATTAGTTTGTGTATATCAACAGGTTCAATTCATTGAGTTGATTGATGTTGACAAACAAATAAATGAATAATGGAGATGACCCAACTTGCCCCACGTTACCTACAACAATAGAGCAAGCTGATGATAGCTTCCTGGAGAAGTCGAAAACAAAAAACTGCCCGGGAAGCCAGGCAAAAGTCGGAAAAACATGTTGAGCATGTTGGAAGATACTTCCGACGGAAGCTGGTAGAACCTTTCGGGAGAGAAACATCCTGAAAAAGGCGGAAGAAAATTCTGGAGGAGTCTAAAAGAACATTCAGAGAAAGTTTGCAGAGGAAATAAAAAAAAAAAAAAACTTCCAGGGGTAGCCGGAAGGAACTTCCAGCATAAGTCGGTGGAATCTTCCGGTGAAAGTTAGATGAAACTTTCGGAAAACGTCTGGGAAGAAATTCAGAGAATGTCGGAAGAAACTTCTGGTGGGAGTCGGGAGAAACTTTCAGGACAAGTTGGAAGAATCTTCCGGAGAAATTGAGCAATTTGTGTTCGGGCAAATCTGGAAAATCTTCTAGAGGATATCTAAAAAGCTTCTGGGAGAAGTCGTAAAAGCCTTTCTAAGCAAGTTAGAACTAATTTCCGTGCAGTCATAAGAAATTTCTGTTGAAAATTGCGAGAACTTCCGGGAGTAGTTGGAAGCAGTGCTAGCAAATATCATGATCGTCATGTGAGAATGCCAAAGCAAGTTCTATCACTGTTACGAAGCTATCCAACAAACATTGAATGTTGAATAAGAGCTTATTCAGGCAAAAATAAGTTTCTTCAGCTACAAAATGGCTTATTCGGCTGTTAATCAACTCAAATTGTTTGTTGGGTACTATTATTAGAACAGACACAAGCTGCTCTTTATGTTAGTTTTTTTTTAGACGAATGCATTAGAAAAATTTACTGCAACAATGCAGAAGAAAGTCTAGGAAAATTGTAACGAAATTGGGAAATTTTATGCCATTCTCAGGATATTTACCCTAAGAAGACATATTATTAAACACATGATATTCGTGACATACAACGTTTACTGTTCAATCCATGACGATTCAATTGGAACTCATAAACCTATCATATTCAAGCGTTGGACGATTGGAAAATGCTGCTCATTAACGAGTTGATCTCGAGGAGAGGCAAAATAACAAACATATGACTCCCGAACAGACATTGCGACCGACTTCGATCAACAAACCTACCACGAGAGAGACGTTAACGTTCGTTCAGCTGAAAGCACTTCTAACTCGAAATACGTTCCGCTTACTCTTCCCAGGGGCTTCATCCATCTCGGTGCTGGTCTGGCTGTAGGATTCTCCGGTCTGGCCGCAGGTTTCGCCATCGGTATCGTCGGTGATGCAGGTGTCCGTGGTACTGCCCAGCAGCCCAGACTGTTCGTCGGTATGATTCTGATCCTCATTTTCGCTGAAGTCTTGGGTCTGTACGGTCTGATCGTCGCCATCTACCTGTACACGAAATAAGCTGCTACAGAGTACACACAGAACGAACAGCAAACAGATGGTCCATACACACCCGTAATCACATCACCCGTCAAATCATCTGTTACCACCATCATCGTGCAACCTCGTCACCATCAATGGATAGGAAAAGGAACAACAACAGCGTTTTACCACTCGAGGTACGGAATTTAGAAAGTAAAAACAGCAACTGCAAACAAGACCAGCAGTGACAATATTTACCGAAAAATCGAAAAGCGACCAAGTTTTTTTTTAGAAAACATTGTAAAGCAGAAAGTAATAAAAGTCGCTCATAATATAAGCGCTAAAATCGTGCGAGAGAGTGGTATCGATCAACATCGTACACCAGATGCCCCCAGTAAAACTTCCGGAACTAGAACAAAAGACTATGTATTTATGTAAAATATTGTATTTAATTGTTAAACTTAATTTATGTAAATGTAAATTTTGTCCCCACAAAAAAATGGAGATAAAGGGACAAGATGCGAGCGAATGCCGTTTATGGGTTATCCGGTTAGAGTAACTGTACAAAACAAGCCCGCAAATCTAGATAGTGCACCACACTTCACGATTTATATATCGCCCATATTGGACGTCGAGGTGAGGCCGTACACGCGTATATGACTTTCAAAATAACCCGTAAACCGCTGCGCATTGAACTCACTTATCTCAAGTTACAAACAGAAAACGCATATATATTCGGTTTAGGTTGTTCTGCAATGATAATTATGGTTTTTGAATCCACAAATAAGATCTTTTCCAGTGGCTTAAACATCAAACTCGTATGGCTACGCCTGTCGCCATCTGATTGTCAAATTCTTGCAATTCGACACCTAGATGGCGTTGGGCATCTCTCATATGAGAGAAAAAACGGAAAGAGATTATCCCTCGAAATTTTTTGACCATCTTAATTAATGAAACAAAAAAGTTTACGCAAGTCACGAAAGGTTGAGTCTGTGATAAAAGCTTCCATCACTAACAAAAGAACAAATGTCATCTTGATCACGAAAATAGAAAATCACATGCTATAGGGCGAAACGCTTCCCATCAACTCAACCGAACTCCATCCACACTCCAGAAGAACTACCATCTGGGAATGCGTTTCGTGTGCTCAAACTTGCTTAGGAAAACGTGTTTTTTGTTTTACGTACCGGAATGTTCCTCCCGCGCGATGCCGTATTATTGAGGCAGACTATAAAGACGCTAAACAAAAGGCGAAGAAAAACGATGAACTACAAAACAACAACAGCAACATTTCACATTCGCGTTCGTTACATATAATCGTTCATAATCATTGGTAAGAAAGAGAGTATATAAGAAAAGGAAAATCCTACACAAACAACAAAAACCTGTTCTATATTCTTAATGTAAATGTTCGTAAATACTTTTGTTTTCTTCGCGTAGGTTGAGTTAAGAAAAAAAAAAAACAAACATCCTGTATATTACAAATTGTGATGATTTATGATTGTTTAATAAGAAAACTAAACTGACTTATAGAGAAAAAAGACGTTGAAGACCATCATCAAGATTTAGAGCAAAACCACCAAGGAATCCACGTCCAAATGGCTATTTGAAGTGAAATGTTCTGCCATCAGCCACCCGCCATCTGTTGGCTGGTGGCAGCAATAGAAAGAAATGTTGAAACCAAAAGACAAAAGACACACACACCGATACAAAACGACACACACACACACACTAACTGACAGAAAGATTTGATGAAACCACCATCCAACATCACTCATCGATCGCAGTCAATCAAGAAGAAACTGAAGTTGGTGCAAATGCTAGCAAAGGTAGCTGCCCCTTCCAATCGATTCCGAGCAAAGACCGATGTCGTTACTGGACCTGGTCCGATACGTTTTGATGCTGAAACGTGGAGGTCCCGTCTCACGAGCGACTCTCTGCAAGGGAACTTTTCCGCAAGAATCCACCCCGTTTAGACCTTTTGTATAAATTAACACCTCTTCGCGTCGGACGGGATGCGATCCTTGCCGGTAAAGATGGTCGGGGAGCTAGCTTTCCCCGAGCATTTGCGCTACTATCTCGTCTCAAGAGAGAAAAACAAAACAAAATCGTAATTATTATTGGAGAAAACCACCATTGAGTAACATCTACCAATCAATCAACCAACCAACCACAACATCCAACCTAAAACCGGATAAAAGTTAAAAACTACAAAAACGTGTTTGCCAAGATCTTGAAAACATCCCCCTTGTTTTGTTGTGAGGAAGCTTTAAGATCCTAAAAATACTTTAATTGATAAGTTGAACAAACAAAGAGTACACACAAACAGAAAGAAAATCTACCGAAATGACATTTGAACAAACATCTGAAGAGAATTCAATAAATTTAACTGAAAAAAAAGGAATCCGTTGTTCAAAGTATTTCTGCGCTGAGGAAGCGAATGTGAAAGAACTTCCCTGGTATTTGTGAAGGGCCCTACACTCTAAAAATGAAATATCACGTAACTGATCTGTACATTTAGAAAATCTCAAATGTTACGTGACGTTAGTAACTTTGATCTGTATTACACGTCATGGCCACTAAAAATGTTGGCGAAATCGACCGGCTATTCACGTTAACAGATTTAGTGCATTTGTGTTTGTGTGTTTGGGACTTCGATATTTACGCGAAACTAGATTTACGTGATTTTCAGGTACGCAAAAAAGTCAATCCCCCTTATTCTGCGAGTCACGTGACTCTCTGTCACCAGTGAGGTGACAATTGTCACCTCACCGGTGAGAGAGAGTCACGTGACTCGCAGAATAAGGGGGAATTAGGCCTATTGAAGTGACAATTGTCACCTCGGGTGAGGTGAGTCTCCATGCAAATCAAAAATGGAGAGTCATCTCACCCGAGATGACAATTCTCACTTCACTAGTGACAGCGAGTCATCTCACCTCACACGCCGCGCAGAATAGGCCTAAATATGGTGGAATTGCAATGTGCATGTTTACACGGCAGTTACAATCTTGGTACTTATTTTCGTGAGACAATTTCGTGTTGTAAGTATAATGGCTGAACATTTTATCATAGACAAATTTTATGGTGAGAATAATTTGTAACATGTTTCTTTATTTTAGTCTGACGACAAGGAGTACCATGGATTTAAAATGCGAGTTAAATGCCCTTTTATCATATGCGTCTCATATCCTCCCCGAGGCAAGTTTCGCTCGAATTAATTTCTTCTTCTGTCTGTAGGTATATTTGCCACAATAAAGATACAATGGTCAAGGAACCCGGAAAAAATAACCATACAACTACCATAAAATAAAATACAATTACAAGCAAATCTATTGCCAACAATCGATCTTATTGTGCGTATATAGTACACGAAATTTTAACATATTGTTATTACAATAGATGTACAATACGGCCCATATAGTAAGAGTTTTCAACAATAGAACAACAATACAATTAATGGTAAATGGCTCAAGTGTTCGGGAAAAAGTGATTTTTCGGATGGTTAAGATACATAACGACCCCCTTGTTCTATTGTATATTCCCCCATTTACCATAGATTCTATTGTGGAAACAATAATTCTATTGTTATTTTATCTTTGTGGAGAATACGATTTATTGTAAACACAATAAACTCCATTGTATGGTTACAATACATTTGATTGTACCTCAATGGTTTTTTTTACGGGTATACTACCATAGAGGTAACTCTAAGACCACTGGGTCCCGAAGAAAATCATTATTATTTTTGGCTCACTCAGTACCAGAACAACGGTCCCAAGCAGTCCCAAGCTATTTCACTCACCCCTGCATGTTCTGCATGAATCCACACACCCCTGATGTTATCTGTCAAACTTTCATAGCGAATCAAAACAAACATAGTGTAGTAATAGAATTTTAACTAGAATAGGGTACGTTAATCGTTTGCTTGGAACCAATAGGCTACTAAAGTGGTGAGCCAATTTAAAATCGTTAGTTTCGTATTGATTGTTGATACTACGATCTTGTTTCATTTGAAATCAAGAATTCATTTGATTTCAAGCGGAATAAAAATCATTGAAAACCACCATGAATTCCATCGAAAGAATCACATAACTTCTACGTGATAATCCCGTGACGATCTCGCTCACTGAAATGAGTGCTTTCATATGATAAACACGCAACACCTGCGTGAAAAGTGTGATGGAAAAAATCTATGTATGTCTTCACCTCGGTCTTCACGTAGCATTGACGTGAAATATTATTATGAGTGTACTAGTCCAAGATATTTCACTTGACTTGACCAAGAAATTGGTACTCCGTTCATGGTGACCATTTGGCATTGCCCCCCTCCCCCCATAATAAACAAATACTATCTTACAAATGGTTAGGATGATACCACGAACACGTCGTTAAGCTTTCTTTTATGGGAGTTATTCCGAGAGTCGAAGTGAAGTGAGAAAAGTCACGTCGTGGTGACGTGACTTTCCATTTGATTTGCATAGGCCTATTCTGAGCGGCGTGTGAGGTGAGGTGTCACCTTGGGTGATGTGACTCTCCATGCACATCAAATAGAGAGTCACCTCACACCGAGGGGGGCGACACATCTAAATCTCAAGTTTAGATGATCAAGAAATCTCATACTAGCGAAGCAATCTTCGAAAAATCTTCTTTCATTTGCATCGCGCATCATCTTTTTGCAGGAAATCTTCAGAATCGTGATCAATCTTCTTTCTATATACTCAGCGTGCACGCAGCTAGCCACAGCAAAACAAAATCTTTTCTGCATCGTAGATAGACAGGCCTATTCTGCGCGGCGTGTGAGGTGAGGTGACACGCTCTCACTTGTGAAGTGACAATTGTCACCTCGGGTGAGGTGACTCTCCGTGCAAATCAAATGGAGAGTCACCTCACCCGAGGTGACAATTGTCACTTCACCATCACTTCACTGTCACTTCACCTCACACGCCGCGCAGAATAGCCCTGAGAGTCGCCCCCCTCGCCTCACACGAGGTGATAATTGTCACTTCACCATTACTTCACTGTCACCTCACCTCACACGCCGCGTAGAATAAGCCCAGCACATAAAGTCACGTCACCACGACGTAACTTTTCTCACTTCACTAGTGACAAAAATCACTTCGACTCTCGGAATAACCCACTATGATGATTTTTATTAGGGTCGTTAATCTGTACGACACTTCGTGTATATTAACGGTGTTCATTTTTAGTTTTCACTTCTAGTAGCCCTATCAGCATCTATTCTATGTGCTAGATGACGTTTGAGCAATTTTTAGTTCGACGGCGTACAGATTACCGAGGGTCCACGGTACTTTTTTTTCACGACGTACATAAATAAAAGATGACCGTATGGACTTGTGGTGGGTTATCAAAATGTTCGTGGCCTGCGAACTAAGATTGACGATTTTTTCTTGACTACTGTTGAGTCCAACTACGATGCAATAGTTCTTACCGACTAGACTGGCTAGACGATCGAATTCACTCAGCACAATTATTTGGCAGTAAGTTCTCAGTTTTTCATAATGCCCGTACCCGGATGAACAGTGCCAAATTACGCGATGGTGGCGTCTTGATTGCAGTTTCCAAACGACTGAACTGTTGCCTCGATCCTGCACCAGTCAGCACTTCTATTGAGCAGTTATCGGGGAAGATTACGACCATCACACAACATGATAAGCACAGACAAACGGGCGTAACTCTTTGAATACGTTTTTCTTGAAAATATTGTACCTCATAAAACAAGACCTCAGTAGCGACATCTCTCGAACTTCTCGCGGAAAACAAACTAGCACGCTAAAACGCTGTCCAGACTGGAGAGTTATAACATGTTATAGACCTGGGTACTGCGGAGTCGACCAATTTTATTTTCCAAGCCAATGGGAAACTGCTTGAAAATTTTCTCAAGTTTAAAACTGGTTTTCTCGGTTGATTCCCGCCAAAAGCTCTGAGCCAGGAGTTCTCGAGCCCCCATGACTCTATCAAAGTTTGTTTACATACATGTTTCGTAAAGGTATGTTCTACTGTAATTGAAAACTCAGCTGCCTCATAAAAACTATGCTGATTTTTATACTTTCATCACTTGGTTTTTATCTTTGAGGTTAAAATTAAGAATGTGTTGTGAAAAAGTATAGATCATTTTTATAAGATTGCAATGCTTGACGGTAGATAAGAACAGTAACTGCATTTGCTGCTTGTGAATGTTTGGCTCCCGCTTGACAGTTCACACTGGCTCCCAAGTGACAAGCACCTTGAGTGAGTCCGCACTACTCAGGTTATAACCATAGAGGTAACTCTAACTCGAACTCTAAGACCAGAAGGTCCCGAAGAAACGAGCTCAACTTTTTGGCTCAGCTCTGGTACTATCTTCGGTCTCAAGCTAATCGATTCACCCCTCGAAACTTAGGAAAATCCACTAACCCCTCATTTTATCTGTCAAACTTTCATAGCGAATCAAAACAAACATAGTGTAGTACTGGAATTTATACTAGAATGGGGTACGTTAGTCGATTTGCTTGGGACCAATAGGCTAGCCAAGTAGTGAGCCAATTTGAAATCGTTAGTTTCGTATTGATTGTTGTTATAACGGTTGTCAAATAATTGCAACACAGAAACCACCATCAAGATAGCGCTATAACATGTTATAATTCTGTAGTCTGAACGTACTATAAGTCGCAAACAATATTGCATGCACGTAAACAGAATATTTAGAAACGTCAAAATGATTCGATGCCAGCGCCGTGGTGAGCTGAGCAGTTCGCGGAAATGATAATATTCAAATCAGTCGTTAAATGCCTGACGACGAAGTGTTACGTCTGTTTGTCTGTGTTATAAGCATCGGTTTTATGTACACTCAAAAATATTACTAAACGAAGGTAGATTAAAATTTAATCATTTTATGGCTAAGCAATGTTTATACATTGATCCGATTAAAATTTTCTTTAAAATCTACCATTTAAGTCCTAATATTGGGCTAGGATTCGTTCAGTGTATACCGTTAATTTAGAATTTGGAAGTTTACATTATCGTTTTATATTATATATGCAAAACATCATAACCCCCTCGGTCACCCGCAGTTAATTCCTTCAACTAAAGTAATTCCTTTTAATTCGTGGTTATTGTTTGCGTTTTACGCAGAAGAAGTGATTCATTCGGTGAATCGGCTTCCATCGTTAATACACCAGCATCCAACGGTTGGGTAGTAAACGGTAGAAAAATCACTTGTGGGTTGAACACCAGCATTGCATTGCGAACATGCTGCGCAACCCGAGTGGTAAACTGGAAACAGTCGAATACGAATCGGCGCCAAGGGCAAGGTG